ACGCACAGCTTGTATTAACCTAACAACCCACTTAAATTAGTTTGAGTGCCTTATGATTCGAGGATATGTATTCTAAAATAAATAAATTTGATGTATAATTGAATGAAGTAATGATTTTATTGGTACATAAAACTTTCCACATGGACCATATGTATCCTAATGAATATAAACAACTTATGGTCTAAAAACAGGTGTAAAATAAAATATGTTTTATGAATATATTACATCATATAAAGAAACATTATTATATCAGAGTTGCCAACTCTCCCGATTTTCGACCGCTCTCCCGCCAACGTGATTTACAATATATTTCTACTGACTTTTTCTTATTCTTAAAATTTCTCATGATTTTTATGGAATTTGGCTTAATACTTTGTTATATGAACAAAAAAAAAAAAAAAAAAAAAAAAGTTATTTTTGACGTCTGAAAGCAATTTAATTTTCTCTACATTATATCTAAAACAAAACCTTGCAAATTAGGTAACTTCTGCTTCAGGTCAGGTTAACATTAGACTTCAAGTTTCGTATTAATGAAAGTAACATTACTTGACCTGATAATATCCTTTTAGAGCTTTAAGTAATGTGGTAGTGCTTGTCCCGAGAGTACTTCTGCTTTGGGACTGAGAGCATATACGTATCCAGAAATGTCATTCTCCAGTTCTCCAATAGGCATCGAGCTCCACTGCGTGTCATCTGGCATATATTAGCCAATGAGGACAAAGCAAGCTGTAATTTGGATGTTCTTTAGTTATTTTGTTCATCTTGTCCTGAGTTGTGTGAGTACATATGCCTTCAAGAAATAGTTTTAGAAATTATCATCTTTTGTTATGTCTGTGAGAAAAGGGAAATACTCGTGTACGTTTCAAAAATCGTACACAGTTGACTTTCCTTCCATTATTTCCTCAAGGAAATTTAATAAATTTGCAATGTGTAACGCCTGTCGTTGCGATTTTTCGATTTCGCATGTGAGAAGGGCGATGTTCTCAAACATGTGCGTACGCAAGGACAACATAAGTTGGTTTTGGGGGGGGGGGGGAAACGAAAAATCAAATTTCCTTTGGAAACAAAGGACCAATAAAGTTCAGAATGTCTGTTCTCTGCCTTTTTACTGGGGCACAACCTGCCACTGAATGTATTGGATCACGCTGCAGCTTTATTTAGAAAAATGTTTCCCGATAGTGAAATCGCTAAGAAATACTAAAGTGCAAGAACAAAAACAGGAGCAATTGTTAAAGAAATGGGTTTGAGAAATAAATCTTCAGTCATTTGATTGCATTAAAACAGCTCCATTCTGCCTCTCTACGGATGGAAGCAATAATACCGATTCAAAACTGTATCCAATTGTTGTTTCTTTTTTTAATCCAGAGTCTTCAGAAATTGAGTGCTGTTTATTTTCTGTCCCCACTTTAGAAGGACGTTTGACAGGCTTTAATATAGCACAGCTAATTGTTAAAACGTTAAAAGAAAATGCAGTCCCTCTGGATAATTGCTTAGCACTTGGTGCCGATAGTGCACCAGTGTTAGGCTTGAAGGCTGGTGTTGCAGGCATCTTAAGAAAGGAAAATTCAGATTTGCAGATTATGAGATGCACCTGTCACCTCTTAAATTTAGCAGCTGAAAAAGGAGCAGCTTCTTTACTAATCAATGTGGATGAACACATTGTTGATATTTATTATTATCTTGAAAGGAGTTCTAAAAGGAAGGAAAAATTGAAACAGTTCCAACAGCTGCATAACAGCAGTTTTACAATTAGAAAACTTGGATAAAGTTATAAAATCAACTAGGATTGACACCCAGTGTAGTTTAATTGGAAAACTGAAAGGTGCTGATGGAATTTAAAAATATAGTGAATTGTCTAGAATTATGTTGGCCATCTTTCTTGACAGTTCCCCATAGTAATACAGAGTGTGAGCAGATTTTCAGTGTTGTTGCAAAACCGAGGACTAAATTTAGATCTAATATTAGTGATGACACATAAGAAAAACTTTTATTAGCAAAAGCAGGCCTACGTGGCAATTTGGCAATTGCTATGAACAAAATTATGAAGTTTCTTTCTTAAAGAAAGCAAAATCTGCCACTGTTTTTAACATTCGTAACGAAAACTGATTAAGTGTCTTTTTTTTTGTTGTTGTTGTTTTCTTAGACGATGTAAGTAATAAAAATGTTTTTTATGTGTAAGGTATTTTTGTGTTGCTTGCATTTAAGAATTAGTTACTATTTAAAGTTAATTTAGTATTAAAAACTATATTTTTATCATTTAAAAAGTCTTCTTAACATTGTGAAAAATCTGATTTTTGAGTGTCATAGGTTGGCAAGTATGTTATATATTAATCAAATAATGATAATGATGGTTTTTAAGTATCATTATTATTATTATTATTATTCATTTATATATATATATGTAAGATAGAAAAAAAATACGATGGCTTTGCTCTTTGCGAACCAGCAACCTTTAATTAATTTTCTGCAATTCAAGATCTTCCCCTAAACCAGTACCTTCTAGAACATTCGCACCTATTACATAACCTCCTCATATAAATGCTGCGTCATAAGTTTTTCTACATTTTTCTAGAAGCTACTCTGTTACATAACCTTTCATATAAATGCTGCGCCATAAGTTCTCCTAAACAGATGCCTTCTCGCCTTCGTTCTGCTAACGCTTCCGCTATGCTCCTCTTTTTTTGTTAGAACATTATGACGTATTAAAGTTTACAGTCGTATCTAATACAGGGTTCGTAGCGGTCCTTATAAGTGCTTATAAGTCCTTATATTTGAAAATAAAATATAAAGGCCCTTATAGGTGCTTACTTTTACTTTAAAGCCCTTATTTTTTTTTTTTTTTTTTTTATGAACGCTCTATTTATCCCCCAGGGTTCGTAGCGGTCCTTATAAGTGCTTATAAGTCCTTATACTTGAAAATAAAATATAAAGGCTCTTATATGTGCTTACTTTTTCTTTAAAGCTCTTATTTTTTTTGCTTTTAGTGTTTTTTTTTTTTTTTTTTTTTTTAAATGAACGCGCTATTTTTCCCCGTACCAAAGCCGAAACTAAATAAACAACTTTTCTTCCTAATATGGAATGTCAGATGGTGAGTCATACTCCCGGAAATAGCTCTTCCCACTTTCTCTGCATTAACGTAACCTTTGGTGCGGGCGAAGAGTACAGACATGTGGTGCCCGTCGTTCTATTGGTCAAAGAATTGCGAAAGCGGTAGAAATTTCCGATACATTCGGTATTCTTTTCCTCCCACCCCAAAATACTACACACGTTTGAATTTCTATCAAGATTTTAATAATTTGTATTCTCGTTCCGCTTGGTTCAGTTCATATTCGTGTTTATTATGATCGTTATGCTTATATTATGAGCCATATGTATGAATGTTTATAAATAATATAGTTGCAGTAACTGCTGAAGTATAGATAAACTTCCAAAAATGGTTGTGTTTTAACACAATTAGCTTTCTAAGGAATAATATTTGGAATGGCTTAAATAAAGGGAAAGTAATCAAATAGTCAAAACAATTTCATTTTTTGGCCAATATATTATACAGTACGAAGGTTGGGAGGTCTCCCCTTTCTCCGCAAAATCTTGAATATTGAAACTGTTACAGTTCGCTGCAAAACAAGCAACGGACTTTCCAATTTGGATTGAATAGGACTAAAAGTTCTGCGGTCTACCAACCCAAGCGAAGAATAATTCTATAACGCTGTCTGTTGAAAATTAGAATGAAAAACACCCCAGTTATTTAGTTCTTTATTCTCCCAATACCGGCAGTTGTTGATTCCGATTGCGTAATATCACGTAGGGAAGAATTACGGCGCACGTATTGCGCAATAACGTTTGCGATAATTTGCAGAGATAATTAATTTTGATGTTCAGTCAGAGATTTGTTTATGAACACTTACTTACTAACTGAAAGAGTTTTACTGTGCTTGCTAAGCAGAATATTTTTTAGTTCCGTTGGTTTATTTTTATGTGATGCACATATTGAAATGTCAAAAGCATTTATTAGCGGAAAAATCTGAAGAGCGGCTACAGTCTACCCCCCCTTCCGCTCCTTCAAGTTACGCTCGACTGTCCGAATATTCCCCAATTCCAAGTATGCGGGTTAGTTAAGCTTTTACTGTTAAAGATGGCTGCATGAAGCAAATTTCTGTCTTCTGATTTCAGAAATGTTCCTCTTTTTTACTTAAATTACTTTGCTTGCAATTTCTGTTAAGAGAAAACTGATATACAATGAAAATTTAGAAAATGTTTATAATTTAGATTTAAATTATTTAAATATCAGTATGAGTGGAAAAATAAATTGTATTTATTATTAGGTTCAAACGAATACAATAAATATGCCTTATTATTATTTATTTTTTCTATTTTGAACTGAAATTTCATCATTAAATCTTGTAATATAGTTTAGTTCTTCATAGTTTTTTTTCTCTCTCATTGTAAACTAGTTCTGTAAATTGAACTATTATTTAAAATTAAAAAAAAAAAAAAAAGTAATTATTTTCCATGGTTGAGGTAATGCTTATTCTCTCTTAAAGAATACTTCATTTCTCATATTTTAAATTACAATTCTAATTTTTAAGGTTATGCAGTTGTGTATGATGTAATTAGACAGGTGCTTATTTTTTTTTCTTAAAATGTGCTTGAAAAGTGCTTATAGGTGCTTATTTTTTAACTAAAATGTGACTATGAACCCTGTTCATTTAATTATTAAATATGATTCATCCTTTTATGAAACTTTTCTCTGAATAACAGTTGTTCATATTGTTTTGTTACTAAATATTTATAGTTGCTATTAAAAATATGCGTCATGTATGTAAAGCTTTCTATACACTATAATAACAGGTGTTCATAGCAAAGTTATATATGAAGTATTATGCAGAGAGTGAATTGAAAAGTGTACTTTTCTTGTATCAGTTTGATTTCTTGTAATACCGAGTAGTAGGTGTATAGTTAAAGATATTATTTTAATCTGTGTTTCTCTCTGTATATTTTAGGTGATAAATTAGGAAGGGTTGTACATATTATACAGTTCAGAGAGCCTTCATTACGAGATTCTAATCCTGATGAAATAGAAATTGATTTTGAAACATTAAAACCATCAACCTTGCGTGAATTAGAAACTTATGTGGCTTCTTGTTTGAGGAAGAAACCACGCAAGCCTTATGGTAAGACCAAGACATAATGCATATAAAAATAAATAATGTTCACCATTTTGATTTTTGTTGCAAAATTTATTATTCTGTTATGCAGCTGTGTAAGTACAAAAACAGTCATATATATTTTTTTCGAATATTTTTATGCATTCGTAGTTCTAGTAACATCAGTATATTTCCATTAGTATGCACATATATCTCTTAGTATCCTTAATGCTATAATAGAATCAGTGTATTCTACAGGTTTCAAATTTATTTCTACGATTTTCATTTTGCATATTAAACACACTTATCAAACATTAGTATGATAATTTTAACTCAGACCAGGCTTTGCAGCAAATCTAGCTATTTGGCATTAGGTGCTATTTTTTTGCAGATCATATAGAGTTGCAGATAATGGGTATATGTACACTTAAGTTTCACATACCATTCAAGGAGATGCAATGGATATCTGAGATCCTGTGTAGTCATTTATCCACCATAATTAATCTTTGAGTTTGTTGAACAATTTGTGAATAGTGCTGAAATGCTGCTGCGTCTTAGGGGAAGGGATTGTCATCATAGTAAGCAATTTGTTCTGGAATCAATTATTGATTAGCATTTCGAAGTAACGTTGTAAGTATTGTCTCTTAAAGATTAGGTTGGTTGTATACAATTTGCTCTGATATGGCAAAAAACATTTGGATTTTTGGAGAATCGTATTCATCATCTAAGGTGGTGTACTGATTTTTACTCTCTCAAATCTTCATATCTTGCTTATTGATTCCCCCCCCCAATGAAGTGGAATCACCTCATCACTGAAAATGATCGCTGATAGTAAGTTATCATCATTTGTTATATAAGAAAAGCAAGTGTTAAATAAATCTTCATTTTTGAGTGAGTTATTTGCTTTTTATTTTCTTTAAAAAAAGTATTATAAATAAAAGCTAAATGAAATTAAAGTATCACTGTAGTTAATAAAGCAGAAGTTAAATTTTATGATGAATAATAAAAATTTTGAATAACAGTAATAAATTAACATTTATTTTAATTGGAGCGAATGTAATGAACTCGGTTTACTACATAGTTTATGCTGTTATAATATGATAATGTAATGTTTATTGTAATGCAGATAACTTGATTTATTAATTTTCAAAGAATTAAGAATAAACTGAGATATAATATTACATCTCAAAGTTTTTAAAATATAATTTCATGGATAAACATTGTGCAGTCGAATATCTGTTTACATTATTTTGCAGATCATCTGTTCCCTGTGCATTCCTTCTTTGTAACCTTTTAACTTATAAAACATAAGAGGCTTCACTATAAGATTTGATTCTAGAACACTTTGAGTCAAAATAAGTCAAAAAGAAGTAAAGTTACTTTTCTGTATTTTTATAAATTTGTGTTTATTAATTTTAAATTTTCGAACTTGTAAATGTAATTATCCTGAAAACTGCAGTTTCAAGTCCTAAGCTATGTGACTTCTTCTTTTGAAGCAGAATAATATTGATAAAAATTTTGTGTATAATAAACACATGCAAGTATGTCAACGTTACCCGACTAACAAGGGGCTTATTAACTAGAACAACCATGCATGCATTAGTACACTCATTTGAGTTCCACCCCCTTCCCGTTCTAGTTATTTGGTCTTTTAATCGAAATCTTTTTGATAATAGAAAAGAAGAGCATTTGATAATAGTTGCATTAAAAATTGCTAATTGACTGTGCTTGCATCTTAATAAGGTACTTGTATCAGAACCTAGAGGGTAAAAGTTTTTATATATCCCTGTCTATTCATTGTTGCCATATCAGAATATAACGTTCAGAATACCATATCAGAATTTAAACGTTCTAAGTGGCTGTTGGTTTTACTTAAAAATTGAAGTGTTCTGAAAAATCCCATGAGAAAAGATGTTTTCTTATTTATAATTCTTAAATAAACCTGGCACTTTATAACTGGATTCTTTTGCTTATACATTGCTCTAATTGTTGTCTAGATAAACGTATATATAGTTATTTAATGATGTTAGAAAATATATTTTTGACTATGTAACTGCACATACACATGTGATGACTTCGAACTTTATGACACGACAGAGACCGTGATTAATGGAATGAAAGTGCATGGTGCATATGAGAAGTTAGTTATAATGGCCAATTTGAAACATTTTATACTGGATAAAACAGTTTTTGAGAAATACATTCTTAAGTTGAATTACACAGTGCAAAAATCCAATTCTTGATCCCATTTCTGCGTTTTTAACATTATGGCACTCATTGAGGAAGGAGAAATAAATGGGGACATAATTTGGCATAAAAGCAGATGAGAGGGCCTGAAAAGTATGGGATCTGTCTAAGATGAAAACCCAATTCAAGGTTATATGGTTTTAGTTTATTTGATGAACTTTATTTTGGCTGAACTTTAAGTTTTTGTTCTCAAATTTCAAATTACTATTAGCATTAAAGCCTTTCACAAGCACAATTGTAGACATGAAGAATGCACTCATTTCAAGGTTCTCTTGGAAAGGGTATGTTTGTTTCAATTCATGTCATAACTTTTACAAGATTTATGCAGCTGTTGCTTCGCAGCATACTTTTCTTGAAGTTATTTTGCTTCAGATATAGCATATGATCTTCCTGTGGGCAGCATTGTTTCTTTGTCCTTAAGGCCTCTGCTCATTGTTATATATTGTTAATACTTCAGTGAGGAAAATTTAAATACTTCCTGAGAGCATTTGTGAACAGTTTAGTCTCTGTTCCATTGCTGGATGTTGTAGACGCATAATAAAACTTTAAACACCGGTTTTCCACATCTGTATGCCATGCAGTGCTGCCTTTGGATGCCCAGAAAGGATTATCTCTTGGTGCTGATGCTATGCAGGATGCAGTAGATTTTAAACTACTGAAAACGCAAAAGTGAGATTTTGTGTGTGAAGTAAACAGAGGGCCATTCTAAGACAGTGCGCATTGGAATTTGTGTATCCAAATAAGTACAAACTAATTATGCTAAAAAATCAGGTATAATATTGTGTTTTATGAGTATTTATGGAACATAAAGCACATTTATATGTTCACAAAAAAAGTGCTGTCCAAAAAACAATCTTTCTTTTCTTTTTTATTTTAAATGATGGTGTTCAGTGTGTTAAGCCTATGTGCTAGTATTCCAAATAATTTTCTGCAAAATTTTATTTGCTGATTTTTTGTAGTGTCAACAATTTAAGTAACTCAGCTATTTTTCCTGAATAATTCTTTATCTGTATAATTTATTTTCCCAGGAAGGAATAAAGGAAGTGCTAAAAACAAGGAGTTGGATGCCAAAGAAAAAAAGCAAGAACTTGAGAAACGATTGCAAGACTGCAGTGGGCAGCTTCATTCCAACAGCAGCAAAAAAAGTAGTAGAAAAGGTATTGATTGCGGTTGAGACTTGTTTTAAAATTTGAAAACAAATGTTTTATTATTATTATTATTATTATTTTCTTTATGTTTTGAGTGTAATATAACTTTTCAACATGGATCGCATAAATATTTTAAATGTTTCATCATTGTTGATATAAATTTTCACTGTCTCATACTTTATTGGATCTTTAAATTTTATTTTGAGGAACAGTTATTGCTAAGTATTTTCTTTTTTGTATCCAGACAATAATTATTATGTATCTCTTCGAGAATGCATAATAAAGAAATTGAAAATAACAATTAAAGTAAATCCTCCTCCCCCATTTTAAAGCAAGCAAAAGATCTTTATCTCTTTATATGCTGTGGCTCTTAACCCGTTTGGTACGGGCGTGTCATATATGCATCAGCAGCGAACATTACCTCACAGCCGGATGTGTCATATTTGAATTGCCATTTAATTCACTGTATGGCCGCAGGACTTGCAAGAGAAGGGCTAGCTCATAGAGCTTTTCCCCCTGAAGCAGAACGTGAGAAGTGATGACGTAGCCATGATGACACTGAGCACGCCAATATAATTCACAGCTTGGAAATTAGTGATTTTGAACCAGCGTTTAAAATGAGCTGTGTGTAAAAGATAGCTATAATTTGGAAGAGGCAATGTTACTGCTTTATGCATTTTAGACTGAACCATTAAAAAATTTAATAATGCTTACTCAGTTTTAAAATAATAGATAAAATGTGCTTCTCTTTTAACATAAAGTTCCGTGGTTTTTTTTATTTTTATTTGCAGGTTTTTTTTTTTTTTTATTTATTTAATGCACGTTTATTTCTAATCATTTATTTTGCATGCTAACTGAGAGAATTTTATACTGCTTCTAAGATAACTAATAATAGCAGCTATTTAAATTTACTCAAAAAACAACTTTGTAATATATGTAAATTTGTAATATATATAAAAATATGTTTAAACCTATGTCTATGTAGACATAGGTTTAAACATATATGACATATATGGCAACATTTCTGCTAACCTACGTTTGATTTTTTGCCTAATTGTAAATTTTACATTGTTATAATTCTTTTTTTTCCGATTCAATATAATAGATATTTTTTAAATAATTTTGTAATTTATACCTTATATCTATATTACAATTAAATAAATGTATATAAGATTGTTACCGTAATTTTGACCAAAAATAGCTTTATTCAGAGTACCTAAAACAGTTATTTAATTTTTTCAAAAGTGTGAGTAAAGGAAGCAGGTCTTTTTTATGCCAATCACTTTGATTTTATACTATTATATTTTAATCTAGAATGCTAATCTAGCACAAAATCTAATCAGTAATTAGTTACAAAAGGATACAATAAGAATAACTTTAACAAGTACTTAACAAATTAGTTTGTTAAATACTGTTTATTCTTGTTGGTACTATTTTGGTACTATTCATAATACCGAAGATATTATCGATTAACACATAGAAGTCAGATGCTTTCTGATTTCCTGTGGGGTAGAGTATATATCCTTTTGCGGTACTTTTTGAAAATAATGTTTTCTCTGGAGCGACTTTTTGTCTCTCGTTTCTCTTGACCATTAAATAATTTGGTTTTAGTTGTGACACAATTTGATTTCTTCTCAATCTCTATTTAAAAACCTCTTATATATAAAAAATTTAAAAACAGTTACATCTTCTAAAACAAATCCTCTATCTAAAGCGCGGTTTCTCAGTAATTTGAGGCAGAGCGCGAAATGAGACCTTGATTAAAAACAAACTGCACATTTTGAAAGAACCAACTTAGTCCAGTTTAGTCATAGCAGAGAGTTTTCAATCTATATGCATTTCGTCGAAACTGAGAACGCATATTTTTTCTACAGAATACAAATATTCGCCTCTTTCCTTCTTTAGAGTAAGAAACATTACTTTGAATTCTTGGACTACACTAAAATTTAGAAAACACTAAAAAATAAAATAACACCATTTCTTTAATTTGATAATACTAGGTAAAGATATTCCAATTTTTTTCTTAATTTTTTTTTCTTTCCAAAAATCATAGCTTTAAGATGACAGAGCTCTTATGACAATGCAACGTGAAATATTTTCACTAGTCCACCTAATTTTTTTGTTCTTTTTCAGTAATGCATTAATCTGCGTCTTCTCTCGTCCTTTCATACTTCTGTAAGTGCTACGGCACGTTTACTGCAGCGCAAAAAGCCATATTACGTAAACGATACTTTACATGTAGAATTTAAAATAAAAAACTGACTAAATTACATAATATAAACTATTTTAAAATATATACATTATTAGAAAACAGATATATATGTTATTAAAATTAATTTGGGATATGTAACCTCTAGAAAATCGTCTCGCAGCTCAATGAAACTGCTGTTTTAAACGCGGGAAATTAGGACATGTGGCATCACAGTGACGTCAGATTATTGCCTGTTACGTCCCCCATTAGGCTCGCGTCGGCGAGGAGTCGAACAAAGAAATTAGCTAGCCCTTCTATTTATACCACATATGACCGGGCGTACCACATATGACTTTTCAGATAGAATGTTTAATTAGTATTTTTTGTTGCCACTAGATGTAGCTGTGTCTGTTATGGGGAAATATATCAAAAGTTATGTGTGCCTTCATTCCTATGCAATGCATTTTGTTTTGGAATGAGAGGGAGATTCTTGGGTGGGTGTTGAGCAATGTAATGTCTCTTTAACTGCATCATTTGATACAGTCAAAAGTCGTTAATTCGGACACCCATAATCCGGAATGATCTATAATCCGGACCTCAAAGCTAAAAACGCCACGCATGCGCATAGGCGTTTACGTGTGCGCGTAAGACCTTTACGGCTGTGAATATACGTGTGCGCATGCGCATAATGTTTACGCATGCGCGTTTATTGTAAAACGGACGGTATAAGCTAAAACTATCTAATTATTTATTTCAGTTAATGTTGCAGATTGCATTGTTCCTTAATCTTCGAATTGGATCCGGCTTATAATTTTTTGCAGACTGTTAGAATAATTTTATAAAAGTAAGCTTGAAGATTGGATTGATTGGATAGGTCAAATACATTTCCGATTTGGATAATGTATTGAAATTTGGATTGAAATTTGGATAATGTCAAATACATTTTCCGATGCTGAAGCTCCCAAAGGATCTACAAAGCGAAAGTATGTTTCGATGTCCATCAAACAAAAAAAGGAATTGCTGCAAAAAATGGATAAAGGCATATATCCTTTGATCCTCTAATCATTCCGAAATATGTTTATCAATTTCACGCTGCTCTGCGGGGGGAGGGAAATGACACAGCGCGCAATGAATTGGAAGTTGATCTATCAGCACTATCCTTATTTTCAGAGCAGATGTTTTTATTTTATTTGGCTTATAATTCTTTACTTAATGTAGTATTTCATCTCGATGTACTCAGTCTTTGATATGATTTAAATCAAATTCCTCCTCATTATAATTCGCTTCCGATAGCGAAGAAAGTGACTCGGAGGTTATTGAAAATGAAAAAATTTCGATTGACAAATTAGCCAATATTCTCGACACAGCAATTGTAGGACTTGAACAGCGGAACTTTTTAAGTAAACAAAAAATTATGTCTGTTTAATAGAATTAAAGAGAAAGTATTATCACATGAAACGAAGCAAATTAAACAGCTTAACATTGAAAGAAATGTTTAATAAAGTAAACAAATAAATATTTTGCTTTTTCTTTTTGTAAATTTTGGTACCCTTTAGATCATAATTGCTGTTTATTTCATAAATTAGGGTTTCATATTTTTTATTTTATAATTTCTGCATGCCATCTTACCAGATTTAAACCGATGATTTATAATCCGGAATCGCCCAACGAGTCCGGATTAAGGACTTTTGACTGTATAAACAAAATGCACATGTTCTCGATGCTTTGAAGTACTTTTTATTTTTGCGATATAGGTATCTGAAGGTAGAAGAATATACACAAATGCTAATTGGTAGGTGTTGAGTAATGTGATAGCTCTTTCGGTATCATTTCATATAAACAAATGAACATGTTCTCGATGCTCTGGAATACTTTTTAATTTAATTATTTTATTTTATTTTTTTATCCCTGTGTAGTGGCGTAGATGTTCTATCATTAGAGACTTTTTTGTTACTGTTACAGGGTTCATAGCGGTCCTTATAAGCGTTTATATTTGAAAATAAAATTTAAAACCCTTACAAGTGCTTATTTTTTCCCCAAAGCACTTTTTTTTTTTTTTGTTAACGTGAACAACTTTCCTTCCTTATATGGAACGTCAGATGGTGAATCATACTCCCCGAAATAGCTTTTCGCCCCTTTCTCTGCATTAACATAACCTTTGGTGCGAGCAAGTACAGGCAGGTGCATGTCGTTCTCTTGCTCAAAGAATTGCGAAAGCAGTAGAAAATTCTGGTGCATTCTGTTTCTTTAGCCCCCACCCTGTACTACACATGTTTGAATTTCTATCAAAATTTTAACAATTTATTTTCTCGTTCCGCATGGTCAGTTCATATTCTCGTTTATTATGATCGGTATGCTTATATTATGAGCATATGTATGAATATTTATGGTAGTATATTTGCAGTAACTGTTGAAGTATAGATAAACTTAAAAAATGGGTAAGTGTGATTTAACACAGATTAGTTTTCTAAGGAATAATATTCGGAATGGCATAAATAAAGTAAAAGTAATCGAATAGTCAAAATAAAATTTTTTTTGGCCAATGATTATACAGTACAGAAGTTAGGGGGCAGGTCCTCCCCCTTTCTCCTCAAAATCTTGAATAAAACCGTTGCAGTTCGCAGCAAAGCAAGCAACGGACCCCATCCCCTCCTTTTTTTTGGGGGGGGGGGGGGGGGGGTCACTTTCCAACCTTGATTGAATAGGACTAAAGTTCTGCGGTCTGCTAGCCAAGCAAAGAATGATTCTGTTGCGGAAATATTTAACACAGTCTTCAAAATTAGATTGGTAAATCTCTCTATTAATCAATATCGACATGTCCTGCTCAATGATAAATATGACACATGGGCGCATGACGGTGAAAAACCGGATGAAGCAAGGGGGTGTTTTTCTTTATTAATTAGTTATTCTTCGAATACTGCCAGCTGTTGATTCCGATTGCATAATATCACGTGCGGAAGAATTAAATCGCGTATTCCGCAATAACGTTTGCGATATTTCGCAGAGATAAAAGAGTTTTACCGTGCTTGCTAAGCAGATTATCGTCTAGTTTCATTGGGCTATTTTTTATATGATTCGTATCGGAATGTCAAAAGTATTATTTAGCTGAAAAATCAAAAGAACGGCTACAATCTACCCCCTTGCTCTTTTACTAGTTATGCTGGACTAGTTGGAATTTTCAGATATTCGGCAATTTCCGATTATGCTGGTTATTTAAGCCAAAGAACATCTATGTACTATACATATTCTTTGGTTAAGCTTTTATTGTTAAAGGATGACTGCATGAAGCAATTTCCCGTCTTCCAATTTTTTACTTATTTTTACTTAAATTACTTTGCTTGCAATATCTATTAAGGGAAAACTGTTATACAATAAAAATTTAGAAAATGTTCAGAATTTTGATATAAGTTAAATTATTTAAATATTAATATGAGTGAAAAAATAAATTGTATTTATTTTTAGGCGCCAAGTGAATATAATAAATATGGCTTATTATTTATTTTCTCTATTTTGAACTGAAATTTCATCATTAAATCTTGTAATGTAATTTAGTTCTGCATAGTTTTTTTTTTCCCCTCTCATTGTAAACTAGTTCTGTAAATTGAACTGTTATTTAAAATTAAAAAAAAAAAAAAGAGAAGAATGTCATTGTTTTCCATTGTTGAGTAATGCTCATTCTTACTTAATAAATACTGAATTTCTCATATTTTAAATTACAAGTCTAATTTTTCTTTTAAGGTTATGCATTTGTATATAATGTAATTAGACAGTTACTTATTTTTTTCTTAAAATGTGCTTATAGGTGCTTATTTTTTTAACTAAAATGTGGCTACGAACCCTGTGTTAGATTTTTCCGGAATGAATATTTTGTATGGCTTAGCTTCTTCTTCTCTTTTTTTTTTTTTTTTTTTTTTTGTTATATATAAATGTTGTATTGCTGGTGTTCTTTCTTTTTCTTTTCTTTTCTTTTCTTTTTAATGGCAAAACAAAAGTGCTATCTGACCATAGAAGATACACAAATGCTTAATGAGTCAAATTTGCTGATATTCTATTCCTGTGACATTTGCAACGCTAGACTTTGCGTATACCCATGTTTCAAAGAATATCATACACTGTCTCTTTTTTGAAATATTGCTTCCTTTTCATTGTTTTCACATTGAATTTTTATGAAAGACAGTTTTAATATGTTTTAATTTTAATTATGTGTTGTGTTAAATAAAATCTGCGATTGTTTGGATATTTTTCCATATATATTTAATTGCGGAATAAAGGGAAAATTATATTATTCTAGAATGAGTATTTTATAAAATTTTTAAGGAAAATATAACGATAAAGGTTTGAAATTAATTCTGACAACTACCTGAATGTTCTTCTCATAATGTACCAAAATTTGGAACAATTGGATGACAAATTTAATTTATACGAATTTTTTCCCAAAGTTAGGCTTAGTAGCATGAATTATTAGTTGAGTTAGGCTTAGCAGTGAAAATTATTTCTACAAATTGCTGATGACATTAACTGAAGACATGAATTGTCTTAAACCTGATTTTTGAATTGGCTTGCCTTCATTGAATCAACAGTTCTCCTCCTCATTCCATCACATAAACACTTGTAGTTGTTCAGTAATTTGTTTTTTATTCCTTTTACTGTCCTGGTGCCACTTAATGTACAAGCACAGTTATGTATTCAGCATCAGCATTATTGCATTTTTATTCAATGAATACTCCACTTTTCATTTAGCATCTCTTTAGGTATTTGGAAAAAACATTTTCAGTTTTTAGCTTTTAATTTTGGTGTAATGATGAGTATTTACAATAGCTTAGGACGAAGTACTTGTCTTCTCACTGTCGCCAAGAAAATTTTATTCTGCATTCAATGAAACAAAGCAAATAAGTATTGTAAGGTGAGAATGAAAAATAAAAATAATGCCTTATTACGTTGTTATTTACAGAAAAAAAATTTAAATGCTTCATCGATGAGTTTAATAATTTTTTATTATTCCATTCTTTATTTGATTGTAATCTTATTTTTAGAAAATGTTTACAATTATTGCTAAAAAATTTGTCTGGATAATAATTTTGGCTGCACATGGAAAATGCATGATAAAATAAAATAATAAACATTAAACTTTTTTTTTTTATTTTGCCTGCTTTTAAAATTAGAAAGTAATTGTCGTATAATAATATATAATTCAAAATACGTAGTACTCTTTCAAACACCACTAAAGAATGATTTTATACACTGTTAATCATTTGCAGTATGTTATACAGTACAAAGTCTGAGATCCGGACTTCCAGTAACCGGAATGACTTAAAATCCGAACCTTAAAGTCACCACCACTTTTTTTAAAAATTTGTTTATTTTTTGTGTGTGCTTAACACGTGCGCATGCGGAGAGTCCTGATTCTTAATTTTACTTTAGCACTAAATAAAATACCTCATTATCAATCATTTTAGCATAAAATTGTATGATCCATAATTTGGCTCCGTAGCTGTGTATGTGTTTGGCATACATTGCAAACTGAAACATTCTACATATATACGTCATTGATTTTACACCTACTAATATTTTGTATCCCTGGCGCCAACCTGGCGAATCAATATTTATTATATTTTTCTTTTATCACCGCATGTTTATCAACTCATGTAGTGACACCTAAACAATTTTTTTATATTAGTAATTGAATAACAAAGAGTATGGTAACCTTTTTTGTTGACATTACGCTTGCTGATGATTACAGATTTAAGTTCAATGCGCTAAGAAATGTTGAGAAGAAACATTTAACAATTTCTTTCCGTATGGTACAAATAAATTTTGTTAATGGTACTCATAGGCCAAATGTTGACAAGGAAAAATTTAACAAAAATTTCTTTCCATTATGCTAAAATTAGATTTTCTTAATGATACTTATTAGCCAAAAGATTACATTTGGTGTTACTTAAATTAAGAATAACTGACTTCTTATTCACATAAACCCAGAACCACCGCCAAAGCCCGTATGGCAGCACTGAGCGGCAGAATTTAGGAAAGACAAATGGAGGAGCTTGGTAGCAATGAATTTAGGACCTACAAAGACTGCATCAGGCAGTAAGATTTCTAGCACTGGCCCTCAATAAGCCTAATGTATATGTGGAAATTATTTATTTAGGACTCAGATAAGCCTTAAGCATGTGCAAGGAACAGGCGTAAGTATAATAAATAACTAATACAATTTAGTCTCAGCTTAATTGTCTCAGGCAAACCAAAGGTGAAATTTTCTAATTAATGGATTTCGTAAAGAAATGTGGAGAATCGGTAATAAATGAAGATGATATAAAAGGAAGTTTTTCATTGTAATGAAAATGCTCCTCAATCATCAATGAGTTAATGGATGGCAAAATATGTAGAATGGTTCTATATCCAGAAAATATCGCTACCGATAGTGAGGAAAGTTACAAAGAAGTTACTGAAAGCCAAACAAATTTTGATTGACAAGTCGGTCGGATTTCTAGACACAGTTATTACAAAATTTCAACAATGGAACTTTGTAACTGAACAAGAATTTATGTCTGTCTATAGAATTAAAGAGAAATTATTTTCACAAAAAAAGAAGCAATTTATATAACTTACATGGAAAGAAATGTTTACTAAAGTAAACAAATAAATAGGAAGTTTTTTTGGGGGAGGGGGTAAATTTTCATACCTTTTAGATCCTAAATGCTTCATCATTTCATAAACCATGATTTCATAATTTTAATTTTATTATTTCTACATGCCATTTCACTAGATTTAAACTGATGATCTAATATCTGGAAAAATCCGGAATCGCTGAAGTCCCGACGAGTCCGGATCTTGAACTTTGTACTGTAATTAATTTCTTAGTAGCGGAAATTTAATTTACTAAAATGTATGATTAAGCATTAATATATAATTGCATTTTTATGTATTTATTTATCATCAGATAACTTTCAGTAATTGAAAAAGCCTAATATTTCTTCTAAAGCTGTTAAGTAATAAAACCAGACTTTATTGATTAAAAGAGTTTTTGTTTTGTCTCCTAGGAAAAGAAATTTTCTAGGAAATTAAACTCCTAATTAATTCCTAGAAAAAGAAATTTCCTAGGAATTTAATTTCCTTTCTAAAAGATAATACAAAAACTCATGTAATATATATATAATTCATTAATACAACAAAATTTGATATTTAAAATTTGATGTAAATGAATATGATGATGAGCAATTAAGCAGCTTAAACTTCATTTGCTGAGCTTTTCAGAAAGAATATTCTGTTTTATAATATAAAAATCTGCAGTAATCTATCCTCCTCTTCCAGATTCAGATAGTTCTCATGTTGATGTAGTTGGTGGAACTGCAACACGATTGAGTGCCAGTAGCAGCAGTTCAAGTGATAGTGACAGCAGTAGTAGCAGCAGCTCTAGTAGTACTTCAGACTCTAGTGATTCTGAAAATGGTAAGTCAGCAGTATTTTTTATTTCTATTTTGAATTAACATAATGTTGAAGTGTTAGTTTTATATTTTATTCATTAAACTATTTGTATGTTTTAAAACATAAGCATTACATATGCCGACATTTTTCTCATTAAGCCTTATCCTGCACTATTGGTGCATTTTGACTTGCTTTCCCTTTATACCTTTCTCACCCCCCCCCCAAAAAGACTTACCTAAGTAACAAAAGTTACTTAAGTTTTTTTTTTTTTTTTTTTTTTTTTTTTGTTTGTTTGTTTGTTTGTTTGTTTCTTCTTCTCCTTCCACTGAATTTTTGTCGGCAATTTTTATACTAGAAGACAGTGTGCTGTACATTGCCTTAATCCCTTAACTGCTGCGGGCGTATATATACACCTTGCTCAGCCGATACGTTAACTACCCCAGGCATATATATATACACCCTTCCAAAATACTATCATTTGCACAAAGCTTTGGAATGCAACACCACAATGACCTTGACAAAGTATGCGAAGGAGGATACTATTTCGGAGAAGTGTGGGGAGAAAGTGGAGAGAGGGATGTGTCCACAGCCGTGAAAGTAATGACTGCATGGTATTGGCTGGTGCTGTTTGAGTAAAACGTATTTTTCTTTTATTCTGGGTCCTCCGCTTTCGTTTACTTTTTGTAGTAGGTGCCAGGAATAAAGAAAGATGTAACAGACGTTTCAGACCGATTTATCTTTTTTGAATTATTTTTTTATGAACTGCTCATGCTTCATATTGTTACTGAAACTAACCGTTTTGTAGACAAGTATATGAGCCAACACCGTGCAAACGAAAAATCAAGAACAAAATCGTGGCATTCAACCAGTTCAGAAGAAATATATGTTTTTTTAGGCATACTGATTTCACAAAGTATAACACTGAAACCTAATATTACACTTTACTGGTCTAAAAATTATTTGATCGAAACCCCATTTTAGTAATATTTTTTATTATAAAAACATCATTTTTATTATTATTCTTTATTTTGTGATGGTAAAACAGTTTTTAGAAAGTAAAACTTGCACTTATTTTCCCCCTAATACATCACATAACTACGCGTGCCTGTGTGAAAAACCGTGGCACTGGGAACAGACTCTTGTACGTTTTCCGTGGCAGTTAAGGGGTTAAGAAAGAAAATATGTAAAGAGACCCACATTTATGTTGGATCATTGCAAGTTTATCACATGCAAAGAACTTTGCACAATAAGTGATAAAAAAACAATGCTAGCATTATTTCTAAGGGATTTATAAACAATTTGTAATTAGTAAAAACTAAAACTTTCTGTCATTTTAATGTTTTTGGTGTGTCTGTATAAACCAAGACTGATATTTCTTTTCTTAAACTTTTATGTGTTCTGTTTTATTGCAAAACTTCTGTAAAAATTTTTACAACAAATTGGCTAAGAATTTAATATGTCTGAAATTTAAAATATCGTGCATTTCTTAAATTGCAAATAAATCCCTGCTGAAATTGCATATTCCATATTACATAGTTGGATAATTATATTATTCCATATTATATGGAATCCATATTATATAATTAAAAACTAAAAAAGTAATTAAAATTCTTGTATTAAATTAAAAACTGTTGTTAAAGATGTGAATAATAATAAAGGTAGATGAAGAAAATATTTTAAAAAGGGGGCCAAGAAACGAGAGAGGAAGAAAAATGAATCCCCCCAACCTTGGTACTTCAGAAATGTGTATCTGGAGAGAGAAGATAGGGATTTTTAAAGTCCTTATATAGTTACTGTAACTATTATGACAACATGTATTTATTATTAGTTTTTAATTTTTTTAATACAAAAGACATTTGCTGACTGATATGAATAATAGCAGGCTAATCTTTTTTTTCATTTTAATAACAGGAAGGATATACAATCAGAAGTCTTTAATCCGGACGTCCATAATCCAGAATGGTCTATAATCCGAACCTCAAAGCTACAAACATTCTGCGCATGCGTAAACACATAATACCTTTACGCATGTGCATAATACGTTTGCGCATGCGCGTTTAATGTATTACGGACAGTATAAGCTAAGCTAAAATTATCTATTTCAGTTAATGTTGCAGATTGCGTTGTTCCTTAATCTTCGAATTGGATCCGGCTTATTATTTTTTGCAGACTGTTAGAGCAATTTTATAAAAGTAAGCTTGAACTTTCGATTATGTCAAATAGAATTTCCGATATATATTTACTAATATGTAAAGGATCTACAAAGCGAAAGTATGTTTGGATGTCCATCAAACAAAACGTGGAATTGCTGCAAAAAATGGATAAGGGCATATCCTTTGTTTCTCTAACCGTTCCGAAATCTGTTTATCAATTTCACGCCGCTCTGCGGGGGAGGGGAATGTCACGGGCGTGCAATGAACTGGAAGTTGATCTGTCAGCACTATCCATATCTTCAGGGCAGATGTTTTTATTTTATTCAGCTTATAATTCTTTACTAAATGTAGTATTTCATCTCGATGTACTCCGTCTTTGATATGATTTAAATTAAATTCCTCATCATTATAAATATCACGAATACACATCAAATAGTTTTCTGGTTGCAATTTTCTAATTTCGACTATGCGTAATGCATGCTTTACGCATGCGCGCATTGAAAGAAATGTTTAATAAAGTAAACAAATAAATATTAAGCTTTCTTTTGTAAATTTTGATACTCTTTAGATCATAATTGCTCTTTATTTCATAAATTACGGTTTCATATTTTTAATTTTATAATTTCTGCATGCCATCTTACCAGATTTAAATTGATGATCTATAACCCGGAAAAACCGATAATCTGGAATCGCCAAAGTACCGACGAGTCCAGATTAAAGACTTTTGACTGTATTTTGATTCTTATTGTGTAATCTAATGATTTTAATGTTTAATTTCCCCATTGCAATTTTCCAGTAATCTTATTTCCTAAATTATAAAAATTATTATAATAGTTGCGAAGGTAATTATAAATATTATAATTAAATAATTATGAAAGATTTTAATCTTCCACACCAGTATTATATGCATTTTAGTAGTTTGGTTTATTTAATTATGGCAAAGCACACTATGGGTATCTGCCTAAGAGGAGGGGTGCCTTCGTGGAGGACTTTGTAAGGCAGCTGCTTCGTATACATGTTACACATAAAGAAAGCCAGGAAAACACCCATGCATTTTAGTACATTCTCCACTGAAACTTCATATAGAAGATTTTAAGTTCATGATATCTCAGAAGATTTTAAGTGTTAGCAAAGCAGGGACAATTTATATAAAAAGATTATAAGGTTTTCTTTGTTTGAAGACTCTTATATATTCTAAAAGCTGTTGCATTTCTTATGCTAGGTCTGGTGGGATTAATATATAGCAATTTTTTTTCTTTGAAATAAATTTAATAATATGTATATTTTTTTCCAGATCTGTCAAAGAAACCCAAAGTAGAGGAAAATCAGGTATTTAATATCATACATATATTTTAATTTTTATTATTTTATAACTTCTAAAATGTTGTCTAGATAATAAAGTTTTTTCCCAGATTATTATGCGATTGGTTGTATTATTGTCCTTTCCTCTGTTACAAATTTTATGATCCTGTAGAGTATGTTTACAAAACATGTATACTATAACATGTACTATAATTTGTAGTACATATAAATATTATACAGTCAAAAGTCTTTAATCTGGACATCCATAATCCAGAATGATCTATAATCCGGACCTCAAAGCTACAAACTTTCTGCGCATGCGTTAATGCATTTGCGTAATACGTTTACGCATGCGCGTTTAATGTATAATGGTATAAGCTAAGCTAAAATTATCTAATTATTTATTTCAGTTAATGTTGCAGATTGCTTTCCTTAATCTTCTAATTGGATCTGGCTTATATAAAAGTAAGCTTGAACTTTCGATTATGTCAAAAATAATTTCTGATTCTGGAGCAGCCAAAGGATCTTCAAAGCGAAAGCATGTTTCGATATCCATCAAACAAAAAGTGGAATTGCTGCAAAAAAATGGATAAAGGCATATCCTTTGTTTCTCTAATCATTCTGAAATGTGTTTATCAATTTCATGCTGTTCTGCCGGGGGGGACGTTGTGGTCCTCAATGAACTGGAATATGTAAGGACGTTGTGGTGCTCAATGAACAGGAATCTAAACTTTGTTTATCTTTAACGCTGCGGCGCGCAATGAATTGGAAGTTGATCTGTCAGCACTATCCTCATCTTCAGGGCAGATGTTTTTATTTTATACGGCTTATAATTCCTTACTAAATATAGTGTTTCATCTTGATGTACTCTGATATGATTTAAATCAATTTCCTCGTCATTATAAATATCACGAATGCACATCAAATAGTTTTCTGATTGTAATTTTCTAATTTCGACTATGCGTAATGTATGCTTTACGCATGCACGCGTCGGAAGAAATGTTTAATAAAGTAAACAAATAAATATTGTTTTTTTTTTTTTTTTTTTTTTTTTTGTAAATTTTGATACCCTTTAGATCATAATTGCTCTTTATTTCATAAATTACGGTTTCATATTTTTAATTTTATAATTTCTGCAAGCCAACTTACCAGATTTAAACTGATGATCTATAATCTGGAATTGCCTCGACGAGTCCGGATTAAAGTCTTATGACTGTATTCACTATAATTTGTAGATTTCCTCTCTAGTCTCTGTATTGTATAACTTTTGGAAAGGTTAATGTGAGCTGAATTTAAAAGTTCTCTGGTCTAAATTAGTAAAAACATAGATAAACCACATGTGTTATCTTAATAAGAATATTACTTGATTTTTTTAAATACTAATTTAGGAACTTTGTGCTGTAATGGGTTTCAGCAATATCGTGTATTGTTATTATTATTATTAAGTCCAAAGGGGCTTTGTCCCTGAGGGACTATTGTTTTCGTTTTGCGATTTTGGTTTGAATCACTCTGAATGTCTGTTTCACTTTTCAAACTTTTGCCACTAAATATTATTGCAATGTATTACATTTGAAGAAAATAAATAATGAAGAATCTGCGTCAGTGTATGTTAGTTTCTCGCATTGTGATAAAAGAACGGTACCTAGAACCATCTGATTTTGAATGACGTAATCCTACTGCAAATATAGGCATCTGGAAGACCAAATTTGGAATTTGTTTTATTATGTGTTTCATATATTGTAAAACTTTAACGAATTTTTAGTTAGCAAACACGAGGATTTCAAAGCAAGCAATGGCAGCATGATACAGAAAAAACATTTTTATCTCCAATGTGTGAGACTGTATCAGAAATTCTAAAGATATGCTGATTTTAAAATTATCTTGCAACATTGCTGTTGAAGTGAATTTTATTGTTTAAGTGCCAAGAACATGATATTCAATAAATAAAGGCAACACACAAAATGTTTAAAAAAAACACTCTAGATGTAATTTAAAATCTGAAGCCTTTCGTGTGTGTTTCAGTGTTTGTCCGAAATCATCTAAAAGGAGTAACAGAGTGCAACCGAATAGTTTGTCGTTGTTTTTTATGTCTTTCAATGTCCTGTTAAATCCCTCAAGCAAATGGTTGTGTTTCATAGTGCATTCATCCCAGGTGATAATTTTACACTGTTTCAGCACTGTGGCCATGGACAATTTTTTTTTTTTTTTAAGATGTTGCACACTCCGTCTGGGTTATTTTGAATTTTTAGTGGCAGCTTAAATACTGAATGAGATGTTCTGCCTTCATCCAATAAAGTTGCTGCGATGCCATTATTTACTCATGTTTCGGCGAGAATTAGTGAAAAAAGGAATGTTTTGCCAGTTTCACCTGGTACATCCAAAAAAAAAAATCCACCTTGTCCTGCCGAAACTGCGAGCATAATGTGGTCATAAATGGTTCTTTGTTCCTCATTCAGTAATGGGACATTGCGAGTAACAATTGTTGCCATTTCTACAGTATTGTACTGCAGTTCATGATTCATTTCAGTGTTCATTAAATCAGATGCACTTCGATTTGGCGAACGCATACCGAAATGACTGAGTGGTACGTTGGCAATGATAATGCAAATTTCCTCAATAGCAATCAATGCTTCATTGTGCATAGCGTCGCTGAATATTATCATTAGATTTTTGCACCGTGCACGATATTGATGCAGTATACGATGGTTGGAACTTTAATAGTGGCAACTATTTATTTACAAGGAATACGAAAGTGATTCATGTCACCATGTTTTACAGTCCTTCAATATAGTTGCCAGCATTGTGTACAACCCGTTTCCAATGATGTGGAAGTCGCAGAATACCTGTAGCAGTGCCTGTTTTGTTGATAGTTTAATGGTCTACTTTCTTGCGGTCTACTGCCGCAAGAATCTCAGAAACAGTTTGGAAGCGAGTGCCACGAAGTGGTTCCTTCATCTTAGAATTAAGTCATAGTCACAGGGGTTTAGATCTGGGGAGTATGGTGGATGGTAAAACACTTTCCAGCCCCATCGCTTGAACAAATCTGTCACAGCTTGCGCTGCATGCGGCCGAGCATTGTCATGCAAAATGAGAGGAGCGTTCTGCAGAAAGTATCGCCGTTTTTTTCTCAAAGCTGGTCGGAGATTGTGCTCCAAAAATGAGCAGTAATACTACGCAATTATGGTCTGCTGTGTGGGAACGGTATGCGTTAGGAAGACACCATCACAGTCATACATGAGAATCTCCATAACTTTCACATTGCTAAGGTTCTGACGAAATTTCGAACGTCATGGTGACCCGTGATGATGCCATTCGTTTGATTGGCGTTTCAGTTCTGGCTGGTACGATTGGGCCGAAGTCTTATCCAGTGTAATGATACGGTGTAAAAAAGCATCTCCTTCGCGCTCATAGCGCTCCAGGTGGGTTCGGGCAGCATCATATCGTAGCCATTTCTGCTTTCATTTTCGCAATTGATGATGGAACCCATCATGAAGCAATTTTTCTCACGGACTGGTGTTCCTTCAGAATGTGCAGCACAGTCATATGCGCTAATCCTGTTTGTCGGGCCAGCTGATGAATCGTTTGGCGGCGATCACTGTCCATTTGTGCGGCAACAGCTTGCACGTCTGCATCGCTGACACTCGGACGACCTGGCCGCAGCATGTCTGCCACGTTTTGGCGTCCTTCATTGAATGCTTTCACCCATCTTGCTACGGTTCTGTTAGGCAATGCAGATTCCCCGCAAGCCTCTTGAAGCCCCTGATGACACTGTCGTGCTGTACGACCTCTGGCACAATTAATTTTTATCCAACATCGTTGTTCTTGTTTTGAAAACATCCTGACAACACTTACTTTAGACCTGCGAGCTAATACAAGGATTCGTTCTTCGCGTCACTCCGCATGCGCGTGACGTAGGCAGAACGAGTCTTTTTGCTGAGAGGTAAGGTAGGTATGTAGTTCACGTGTGATATACGCGATATTCTTTGGTTTTGTTGCGTAGCGTTTTTTTCAGCTGTGTTGCCACTATTAAAGTTCCAACCCTCATATCATCAGTCATTGAATCTTTGTGATTATCCCACAATCTCGGGCTCGGAAACATGTAGTCAGCACTATAGCGAATAGTAGACGAATTCGTATTGCTGTACAGTTCAATGCTGCTTCAGCAAGCATACATTCCCACTGGTTGTTGTCTTCGAGCAAGCCGAGTGTAAGGCATGCATCTTTATACATTGTATACTGTTGTCCATTCACTTTACGTATACAGTCAAAAGTCTTTAATCCGGACTCGTCGGGACTTCGGCGATTCCGGATTATCGATTTTTCCGGATTATAGATCATCAGTCTAAATCTGGCAAGATGGCATGCAGAAATTATAAAATTAAAAATATGAAACCGTAATTTATAAAATAATGAGCAATTATGATCTAAAGGGTATCAAAATTTACAAAAAAAGAAGCTTAATATTTATTTGTTTACTTTATTAAACATTTCTTTCAACGCGCGCATGCGTACCTTACACATAGCCGAAATTAGAAAATTGCAACCAGAAAACTATTTGATTTGTATTCGTGATATTTATAATGACGAGGAATTTGATTTAAATCATATCAAAGACGGAGTACATCGAGATTAAATACTACATTTAATAAGGAATTATATGTCGAATAAAATAAAAACATCTGCCCTGAAGATAACGATAGTGGTGACAGATCAACTTCCAGTTCATTGCGCGCAGCGATGTTCCCCCCCCCCACCTCATCATGTTGATGATCGTGTCAGGATGCACTATCTTCCAGGCGAACAGTTGTTTCGTCCTGTATAGTAGGTCATATGCAGGCTGGTGGTGGTGAGGTGGACTGCCTATGTACGATGATGGTAGAATGACAGAGTTACCAATTTCTGCAGTGCCTGCGTTGTGGACAATAGCGTCTCACAAGTGAATGTATTCTTTCGCACGCAGCTTTTGTTGATTACGATCAATGCACAAACAATAATCTGTGGCACAAAACTCTGTGGGGAGTGAGAGAGACAGGAGACCGGATTCGGTCTCATCCTTACTCCGTGCTGTTTACTGGGTGAGAAGTGACACCCTGTAGACGCCTGGCGGAAACAACTGATCAAGTGATAATTGATGAGTTATCGACCAGGGTTAAAAATTATTAAATTACTAATATCGCTATTAAAAAATAGGGGTTGGTGGTAGAAGGGTGAAAATTTAGGGTTGTATGTATTTTTTAATGCCACATCATAAACAAATAAGAATAAAAAATTTAAAAAAAAAAAATTAGGGTGGACCACCCTTATGAAATGTAATCATGTATGAAAAATAGATTACAGCCGATTCTCTGACCTACCAAATAAACATATAAAATTTCATAAAAAACGGTCAAGCCGTTTCAGAGGAGTATTGTTACAAACACTGTGACACGAGAATTTTATATATTAGATATCCTTTAAACTTATATTTGGCATTATATTAAACTTATATTAATATCAGTAATTCAAGCTGTTTATTTTTTATTAGATATAAACATATTTATTTGAAAAATATTAATCTTTCATAGCTTCTACACTCATTAGAAGGTGCTTTAGGAATTAAAGCCGAATTGTAATTGTGTTTGACCTTTCTTTATATTTGATTACTAATTTTTTTAATATGTACTAATAATTTCTGATAATATTTCATTCAGACAACCATCAATATTTGCTGCCAGATTGATGTTGAAGGTGATCTCGGGAGTGGTATTGAAAATATGCTTTTTGATGCCCTCTAGCATCAGAATTTTTTAATGCTGTGCAGCTATTTTTATATTGTAGAATACATAATAAATAATTATGTAAAATATATTATTTAATAGTCATAGTTTTCAAGCTATATACATATGCATCCCAAAAAAGAAATATTAAGCTTTAATGGGTTAATAGAATAATAATGGGCTTGTTTTAAGAAATAGAAAGATAGGATTGTTTATTGTTTTTCAATTTTCTTAAATTTCGACACTTTAATGAACTTTATTTTGAAATATTTTTAATAATTACAATTAATTGGTAATATTTTTTCAGCTGTCAAATTTAGAACCTCCTCATCTAAATCCTCCTTCTGGTCCTGTTGGTGCATCATCTCATGGTCCACCATCTCTAGGAGGTCCAGTTGGGCCATATCCACCTCCTACAACAATGCCTATAGGAAATCATTCAGGTTATGTTCATCCTCCAAATCAACTGCCTGCATTCCCATCACTTCAAAGCCCTCCACAGTTACAACCTACTGTTGAGCAGCCACCTGGACCAGTTTTTCCATTGGTAAATCAACAAGGTAAAATAGTTATCTTAGCTGATCAAAACCTTTTTCATTTTGTGAACTGTAATTAATGACAGATTAGGAGACTAGTAATTTGGGAGTGTATTTTCTGCAGCATTTGAATACTTACCCCCAATATCGTACGGCCTTTTGTATTATAATATGCTTTTATTAATTTAAACCTTCAAAGCTTTCCCCCCCCCTCAAATTTGTAACTGCCTTCTGAGAGATTTTTATGCATTTTGCCAAAGCTATTTTTTTCTGCATATTCATATTTTATGTTGTAGATAAGTCAGATTGTCAAACATTCCTTTTGACAAACTAATAAGCTTTATTTTTTTTTTTTTTTTTTACATTTTGATTATTAAAAATGTTTAGCATAATAACCAAAATATAAACTTTTTTATCAGTATGAACAAATATATATACACTAATGAGCCAAAACATTATGGCCATTACTATATTTTTCAATGAATTTGTCTGGATGACTTGAAAGGAATGTGGATTAAGTGGGAATGGTTTTTAACTGCTTCTTGGAGAAGGTAAAGAATCATTCTTGCAATTACTTTTGCGATTGATGGGAAAGGCTGCTGATCTAAACAAATTTGATGGAGGGCAGATTGTAGCAGCCTGAAGACTCGAAATGAGCATTTCTGAAACTGCATGACTAATAGGTTGTTTGTAAACTGCCAATGTTAGTATTTATACTAAGTGTATAAATGATGGTGAAACCAGCAATAAATACCAAGGTGAAGTCCACACATCATTTAAGAAAGATGTTGTAGACTGTCCCGCTTGGTTCAGCAAAATCTGCACCAGACAGTGGCTTGGCTGACAGCCCAATACAGTGCAGATCCAAGTGCAAGTGTTTCAGAGCACGCAGTTCAGCTGACACCGTTGAATATGGGACTGTGCAGTAGATGTCCCATTCATCTGCCTCTGTTGAGCAAGCTTCATTATCAGCTGTTACACCTATGTGGGCCGAGAAATATTGAGACTGCATCATAAGTGAAAGACAGTTGCCTGGTGAGATAAATCATGATTTCTCATTCATCATGTTGATGATCGTGTCAGGATGCACTATCTTCCAGGCGAACAGTTGTTTCGTCCTGTACAGTAGGTCATATGCAGGCTGGTGGTGGTATTATGCTTCATGCACAGCTGTAAGGCCCTTAATTCTGGTAGAACAGATCATACAAGCTGCAAACTATCTGAACATAATTGCACACGAGTTGCACCCTTACATGGCATCCGTTTTCCCAACTGAAAATGGAATTATCCTGGAGGGCAATGTCGCATGTCACAAGGCTCAAATTGTGTTGGAGTGGTTGACCTAACTCATCGTATCTTAATCAATGGAATTCATTTCGAATGTCATGGAGTGGAAACTCAGAAATCAAACATCACTATGTCAATATATCTATACTTGACCGCTGCTTAGATATTTGATGCAATCTGTTTACATTTATCTACGAAGAACTTGTGGCATAGGTATCATTGCACCGTGATTAATATAGTGAAAATGTACTTATTACTGTTATTTATTGTTACTTGAAGATATTTGTCACCGTTTAAAGATATGCTTTGTAGCACAACTTCAGCAGTCAACTCTAACTTTTCAATATTCATTAACCCTTGCTTTTACATAGGAAATAATTTGCTCTAAATTTCAGGGGGTACATATAGTTTGTTTAAATGTGCCACATTGAGGCTTTGTAATAATTTTTATATTTACTTTTGTAAAATAAGCTGACTTCTGTGTTATAAAAGTATTAATGAAAGTTGATGATATTTTTATTTGAAAATGTATCTTTTATTTGTATTCTTTTTTTTAGCGTCTAGTGTTCCTTCAAGACCTCCAGTTGTTGCCAGTCATAATCTTCCACAGCAGCCATCAAGGCCTACGGCTACTGCAACTGCTGCACCTGTAAAGAAAAATGTTATTACATCACAACCTAGGCCACATGGTAGGAGGAAAAATGTTTTGGGTCATTTTCTGTAAATAATAACATAATCAGGGGGTTCCCCCTTTTTTTCCTTCTTTTTCTGCTAATGTGAAATGCAAAGTAATGTTTATTTTTTATGTTTAGTTCCACATAGTATATTAGTATAGACTACCTTTTTGGGAGGATAAAAGCAATGCTTAATATAACTTTATCAAAAAAGATTTATCAAACTGATGTTATTAAAAATAGTATATTCAGCTTACCAAGTAGTGGACTTTAAACATGTCAAAGTTGTGAACTCTTTGCTTTCTATAAACAGCTGCCATCATTTTGTGGAAATATGTAATGCAAGCTGCAAAAGTCTCCTCCCCCAGGGTTCGTAGCGGTCCTTATAAGTGCTTATAAGTCCTTATATTTGAAAATAAAATATAAAGGCTCTTATAGGTGCTTACTTTTTCTTTAAAGCCCTTATTTTTTTGTTTTTAGTGCTTATTTTTTGCTTTTAGTGCTTTTTTTTAAATGAACGCGCAATTTTTCCCCGTACCAAAGCCGAAACTAAATAAACAACTTTTCTTCCTAATATGGAATGTCAGATTGTGAATCATACTCCCGGAAATAGCTTTTCCCCCTTTCTCTGCATTAACATAACCTCTGGTGTGCGCGGAGAGTACAGACAGGTGCCCGTCGTTCTGTTGGTCAAAGAATTGCGAAAGCAATAGAAAATTCCGGTACATTTGGCATTCGTTTCCTCCCACCCAAATATTACACGCATTTGAATTTCTATCAAGATCTTAATAATTTGGATTCTCGTTCCGCTTGGTCAGTTCATATTCCTGTTTATTGTGATATTATGATCGTTATGCTTATATTATGAGCATATGTATTAATGTTTATAATAACATAGTTGCAGTAACTGCTGAAGTATAGTAAACTTCCAAAAATGGTTGTGTTTTAACGCAGATTAGCTTTCTAATGAATAATATTTGGAATGGCGTAAATAAAGGGAAAGTAATCGAATAGTCAAAATAATTTCATTTTTTTGGCCAATACATTATACAGTACGAAGGTTGGGAGGTTCTGCCCTTTCTCCGCAAAATCTCGAATATTGAAACTGTTACAGTTCGTTGCAAAAGAAGCTTTTTTTGGTCAGTCACTTTCCAATCTGGATTGAATAGGACTAAATGTTTTGCGGTCTACCAACCCAAGCGAAGAATGATTCTATTCCCGAAATTTAACGCAGTCTGTTGAAAATTAGAATGAAAAACACCCCAAGTCTCTTTCTTTTCCTTGATTTAGTTCTTTATTCTCCCAATATCGGCAGCTGTTGAATCCGATTGCGTAATATCATGTAGAGAAGAATTACGGCGCACATATTGCGCAATAACATTTGCGATATTTTGCAGAGGTAATTAATTTTGATGTTCGGTCCGAGATTTGTTTATGAACACTTAAAAGAGTTTTACTGTGCTTGCTAAGCAGAATATTTTTCTGTTCCGTTGGTTTGTTTTTATATGATGCACATATTGAAGTATCAAAAGCATTTATTTAGTGAAAAAATCTAAAGAACGGCTACAGTCAGCCCCCCCCCTGCTCCTCTTTTTCAAGTTACGCTCGACTGTCCGAATATTCGCCAATTTTCACGTATGTGGGTAGTTAAGCTTTTACTGTTAAAGGATGACTGCATGAAGCAAATTTCTGTCTTCTGATTTCAGAAATGTTCCTCTTTTTTTACTTAAATTACTTTGCTTGCATTATCTGTTAAGGGAAAACTGATATACGATGAAAATTTAGAAAATGTTCAGAATTTAGATTTAAATGAGTTAAATATCAATATGAGTGGAAAAATAAATTGCATTTATTATTAAGTTCCAAGCGAATAGAATAAATATGCCTTATTATTATTTATTTCCTCTATTTTGAACTGAAATGTCATCATTAAATCTTGTAATATAGTTTAGTTTTTTTTCTCTTATTGTAAACTAGTTCTGTAAATTGAACTGTTATTTAAAATTTAAAAAAAAGTAATTATTTTCCATGGTTGAGGTTCCCCCTTTCTTGCTTATTCTCTTGTCCCCCATGCTTATTCTCTCTTAATAAATACTGCATTTCTCATATTTTAAATTACGAGTCTAATTTTTGAAGTTATGCAGTTGTGTATAATGTAATTAGACAGGTGCTTATTTTTTTCTTAAAATGTGCTTGAAAAGTGCTTATAGGTGCTTATTTTTTGAACTAAAATGTGGCTATGAACCCTGTCCCCCTTGCCAACAGAGATTTCACTTTTGGGATTATTGCAGTATCTTCCTGTCCTTTACTATTAAGTGGCTTTTCACACAGGAAAGAAAGAAACTGCATTGTAACAAACCTTTGCCAAACACAGAGGTTATGTCATTAATACACTGTGCGTATGACAAAAATGTGTTCCGCAAAGTTATCTTTTTATGAAAAAAATGCCTTTAATTAATAAGTAAAACTAGACAAATGTTGATTGAAAAGATTTTTATTACTGCTTAATAAGTGCAAGATGCAATTATTTTTTAAAAAGGTAATTTTTGCTTGTGACATAGCTCTGTATAAGTTATATGGTAAAGAGTGCAAAACTTCCAGTGCATCATGTAAATTATTTCTTTTTTCATGCTTTGAGTCAGTCTCTATTGCAAAATCACCCAGCTCCTGTGCCTTTTTTAGCAATACATATGCTGTATGTAAGTTAAAGGCAATTTTATCTTCTTCATTATAACTGTCAGCTGGTATTTTAAGATCATCCAATTCTTTGTCATTTCTTGATTTATTCTTTAATTTCTTCTTCCGTATGTGAAAATCCTTCACTGCCACTTGCTTTTTTTTTTTTTTTTTTTTTTTTTTTTTTTTTTTTGTGCAGTTTCTTTGACTTCATTTTCAGTTAATGGAAATTCTTTAAATTACTTATGATCAAAGATAACAGTAATAAGCATTCAGTGTTGATAGTTTATTATTGAACTATGTATGAATGAAATTCTAGCGTTGGACAACTTTAATAGAACATGCATATGTGAAAGTATATTCTCCAGATCCGCACTTGGACAAGTGAAGTACAACAAATCAAGAGGTTATGAAAATAAATAAACTGACAACTTCAATTTTTACCGAATTCAGTATTTATTGTTTCATGAGAAAATGAAAAAGTAAAACTGAACTGTTATTTATTTCAAAATGAGTAAGACAATTTGTACAAAAGCATTACTTGAAATGCTTGTTAAAGCATCGTGTTCTAAAAGTATGGAATATTCCCTATAGTACTCAATCTCATCTTATGAGATAATCTTATAAAGGCCAAAATTCATTAGGATCACTAGTGGAGATTCATTAGATCACTTAATGAAGTTTTGCCATGCCCATTTCTGAATGAGAAGTATTTTGATTTTAAATAATGAGTCGATTTGAGTTGATTAAATGCTAGTGAAGAAACAAAATTGGTTTAGTTTTACTTTCTATGCTAACTGTAATTTTTTATCTGTTGTGCAATTTGAGGTGCTGTTCCAGTGTCAACTACAAGCGTAACTACACCCGTTTGTCAGGCTCCAGTGCCAACTCAAGCTCCTCCTGTTCCTTCCGAGCCATCACCTAATTCCCCAAGCACACCACCTAAGTTGACTCCTGCAGCAGAACTTCGAGCCAGGACTCCACAAATCCCTACACCTCCTTTAGACCCTGCACCACCTCCATTGCTGTCGAAACCTCGTGAACGAAATTCTGAAGCAGAGCATACGTCTTCTAATGCATACACTTCTAACAGAGCACCTGAACTTACGGCACAGCCAGGTAAGTGGATATGTAGGAATTTCATCTTATGTATTAAATGGTGTTTTAAAATTCTGTATTTTATTAATAAAATTGTAAAATTCTTACGTTACACTAACCTATTATGAGTTATAATTTGATCTCTACAGTAACTTTTTCTTCTCGTATTCCTCACCAGCTAGCAAATTACCTTTTACAATTATATAAGCAGAGGATTTGGAATCATAGAGAAGGAGCTTCTGGCACTTCAAGCAAGATTTGTATAGTCCTTAAAAGTCCCTTTTTTTTTTTTTTTTTTTTTTTTTTTAAATATTGATTTTTGGTCTTTAAAATTCCTTAATTTCAGACAAAATCAGCAGTTCTCAATTTTAATAATCTGAAATTTCTGTCTGTTTTTACAACTGCCATTTTGAGTGTGAATTAGCATTTTGGAATATATTTGGCAGTTCCCTGAAAATGTGGTTTTCCTTTGAATGGGTTAAGGGGTTATAATTTGTTCCTATTTCTCATATAAATGGTGTGGTGCTCAAGTATCTGGGCAAAAAGTGAAACCTAAGTATTTCGAATTTATTTCATTTTTTCTAAGGAAGAACCGTTGAACAACTTTTCGTTTATGGAGATGTGAATTCATTTATTAAACGGTTGTAAATTTGGTGACTTATCAACATTTTGGCAATTTTAAGATCACTTTCTATAGAAAATTTTTTATTTGGAGACATGGAAGAAAATTTTCCACGATTTTCTCTCCCCTTCACCCCTCCGTTTGAACAATATAACATTAATAAATTTCATTAAAGAACAGATGGAGGACAAAATAATGCGAACACCTGTGAAAAAGTATGACTTATTTCACACCTGCAGTACAGCCGTGCCACCTGCAACAGAAGTATGTCACCTAGTGAGCATGAAGAAGAAGGTATCAGTCTCTCAACAGCAGTCACCTGCGTTGCATGCTTCGATCGAACTGTCTGTGAGAAGTTTAAATGCCAGACCTGTCACAGTTTCAAAGAATTATGATAGTTGGAGCACGTTTAAGTAGAATATCAGTTACGGAAACAGCAAACCTTGTTGGGTGTGCAAGAAGTAGGATATCAGCCGTTATGACAGCGTACACAAAAGAGAGTAAAACGACGTCTTCAAAGCACAGCAGTGGCCGAAAGTCAAAGCTGGTCTTGAAGCGCAAGTCCCAGAAAGCACAAGCAATCATTATCTGAGATAACATCTGTAATGAAGAGTCATCTCCAGCACCCCCTTTCAACAAAACTGTCAAAAGCGAACTTCATGCTGCAAACATTTATGGCAGAGTGACAGTTCATAAACCCTTGGTGACAGCAACTAATGCTTTTAAGCAATGCCAGTGGTGCAGAGATCACAAAGGCTGACCCTCACAGCAGTGGCAAAAGGCAATATGGTCAGATGAATCGTCTATCACCCTATTTCAGACGACCTGATGTTTTTATGTCTGGAGAACGCCCAAAGAAAGGTTTCATCCTGATTGCCTCTTGCCGACTGTGAAGCATGGGAGTGGCGCCATTATGGGGTATAGAGTGTGATATCTTGGCGCAGTCTTGGGCCACTTGTTATTCTGCTTGGGAAGATCACATCCAATCACTATCTAAGCATTCTAGGGGATCATGTCCATCCTTTTGTCCAGACTGTATTCCCTGGGGAGCGACCGCTTTTTCAACATGACAACATCCCTATCCACACTGCTAGGTGTATTCAAGTATGGTTCGAATAGCAAGACGATGTAATTGAACATCTTGCTTGCCCTCCTCAGTCTCCAGACTTGAATATAATGAACATTTATGGGCATATTTTGAGTCCAAACTTCGTTCCCGATTTCCACCTCCATTGAGACTTTTGGAATTAGAGACCACTCTGCAGGAGGAGTGGCTTAATATTCCTTTAAATATTGTCCATGACTTTTATGCATCTATCCCACGTCGCATTCAATCTGTATTTCAGTCAAAGGGGGGTCCAATCCCCTATTAATAAAGATGTTCCATTATTTCACAGGTGTTCGTATTATTTTGCCCCCCATCTGTAAATATACTGAAATTATATTTAAGAAATAACCTTTTTTGTATTATTTATTTTTCTCTGTCATGTTATAAAAAGACATTGCTCTCTCAATTTTTGCAACTTGCAATATTGCAAAATTTGAATCTGAAAAATAAAACTAGATAATAAATGCTATAAAAGCATAGTTTATGAAACAATTATTAACAAAAGCAAAATAGCTATGCAATTAATTAAAAAGTCTTTTATTTTTATTTATTTTTCATGGTAAAGGGTTTTTCCCATGTCTCAGAATGTTCTGAATTCTCAGAGTGTACATCAGTTTTCTCTATATAATTACTTTTGCACTTTTTCCCTGTAATTTTTCTTTCTTTCCTTCCTCCCCACTTCCTCCAAAATATTTCTGGCTGTTGTCTGTTACAGAATTGGTAGGATATTTTTTTTTTTTTTTTTCCATATTTTAGATATTGCAACTTAAAGAATTTAGAAGGATTTGAAGGCAAGATTGGTAAACCCACGATTCTAGAATTTTTCAGAAAAATGTGACAAAGTAAAAAATGCCCTCATGGTATTAGCATATAATGGATATATTTTACAGAAAGTTTTTGAAGAATTTTTGGTAGAACAATGAAAACATAATATTTTAATATTTTACTTCTGATACTAGAAGTTTTTCTTAAAATGTTTCATTTTCCCTTTATTTACTCTTCTTTTCACTAGACAGAATCAAAAATTTTAAAAATGCTTCTAATCTGAACACATGGACAGAACTGAAAATTTAAAAGATTTAGTACGTCACACATAGGGCTGGCACTAGGCATTTTAAATTGGGACACTTGACTGCTTGACAGTTTTGTTTTCATACAAAATAAATGAAAGGCTATGCTTGTGTTCTCTCGGAAGAAAATTATTGATATCTAATTATTAAAAAATACATTGGTAATGTTGTTGAAACGAAGGGTGGGATGTCAAAATTTAACTTCAAGCGAAAAAATTGTTCCAAAAACGTATCCAAGGAAAAAATGGAATGTTTCGAGTGTTGTAAAAGTAAGATCTTTTAATGTTAAAAGAATGAAGTCAATTGCAAAATCATTAAAATGCTTGGTTTCAGCTGCAAACAAAGTGATTAATGCTGACTTGAATCTTAAAAGAGCAGAAAAACATAATATGCATTGTCTTTTGCCATGGCATTTCGTCGAGTGCAACATTCTTTGTGAGAAACATTTATCCAGACAAAATGTCATGATGAATCTTGGATGTACTTTAATGACTACAATAAAAGGGGTTTCATTTATTATCATGAAAGAGAAGAAAAAGATTTTAAAACAGGGTTTAAGTAATCTAAAGAAAGTTTTTCTAAGGGATTTATGATTGTTGCTTGTTTTTCGTATAATGTTAATATATTGTATGGATCAGCTCTGAGCTCCACATATTATCAAAAAACATGTTTTATAGCCAATTTTCAAATATGAAATACCTTCTTCTTGCTTACAAAGTGATTGGAAAAAACGTAACACAAAACGGATATTAAGGTTGTATCCCTACTCAATCTCCTGAATATTCAGTGTATTTTTCCACATTTGAACTTCTAAAAAGTGGATTGTCCGAACTTTGACCGACAGCCCCTCGTTTTAGACTTTGGAAAGCTGTTCAAGAGTAATAGGATAAAATACCTCTTCCGCTACTACAAAAGGCTTTATATTATCTTGGAAATTACAGCATGTAAAGACAGTGAAGAATAATTGTTATTAAATAGAGCATTTAAAACATAAAAATATTAGGTAAAATATTTCTGTAATTACAATTAAATTTGTCTAAAAATGTGCAAACAGCCTATGTAGTCTAGTATCTACAATATATGAAGTATTCAGTAAATATTGCTATCAGTTTTATTTCCATAAAATTTTAAGCATGTACTTCCACGCACATTATATCACAAAACTATCATTAACAAATGTCAATTAACTATATTGCCTTCAAAAACTCAGCTAATTTTTTCTACCTGTAATAATTTTTGTGTGTGATTAAGGATAAAAAAGTAGTCTATGTGGTTTCTTCAATAATTTGTTTAAAAATGAAGAAAAGAAATTAATGAATACAAATATGTAATCCTAATTTGGAGATCTAAACAATTGATCTGATTGTTGTATTTCATATATTACAATGATAAATTGAATTTAAAAGCTGTTTTAAAATTAGCAAGGGCTAAATTTTAAATAAATCAACTATGTTTATCAAACTAAATAATATAATCCGATCTTAATATAAGAGGAAAATCTTATATGTAAGTCAGAGTTTTTATATGTAAGTCATGTTTTTATATGTAATCTTATATGTAAGTCAGGTAGTAAAGAAAGAAGCAGTCATTGAAAAAAACACTAAGTTAGACATTTAAATTGAAAGAATGCTGAAAATACAGGTGTCCTACAAGGGGTCTCTCAGTTTGGAATCTACAACATTGTAATAGAAAAAGAAAGGTAAAAGAGTAGCAAAATTTTTTCATACTACGTGAGCAAAATTATTTAAAAATTTCCTGAAGGCAGATGATTAGAAGTATAAAATCTTTTTATTTACAAAATGCATATTGAATAATTTTACTGTTTCATAGTGCATAACAGTAAAATGATGTATATATCAGGTTCTGCTGAGCCAATTGATGAAAATTAACTCGCATTTTTCATGTCTCAAAAGCCTGACTTTGACTTTGCATATGGCATTATTTTAATATTAGTATTCCGACTCAAATTTGGACTTTTCTGATCCCCCCCCCAATTTTTTGACTCATATTATGCATAATTATTAAATTTTGCAAAGTTTGGTGAGAAACTTACTGAGAAATTTTTAATTTGTCTTGTCGCACTAGTTTGTGCCAAGAATAATTCACTTGGCGATACTCTTAATTTTATGGTATCTGATTTTCCCATTTACTGTGCATAAGTGGAATAAAAGATGCGTTGTTCATTCCTTCAAATAATTTTAACAAAGTGCGTAAAACCATATTTGGTGTTATTATTGCTTATACAAAATATGCCAAATTTCAAAAAACGTTAATATATAAATTCACATATATCTCTGAAAATAAATAATTATAATTTTTTGTTGGTACGCCTAGAAATACATCTATTTTAATATGGTAGCAAAAATTTTATAGGTTATAAATCAAAATATTTATAAAAATTACTAAAAATACAAATTTTTGAAAACAAATCCAAAAATGTATGCGAATTTTATTTCGATTGAACTCAAATTTTGAATTGTGAAAGAAGGAATCCATTATGTGTAGTAAAAAAGAAATATTAATAAATATATACCAGATTCAAATAACATCAAAGCTAAAATGTTGAGCAATTCTCCCCCCCCCCCCCCAAAAAAAAATAATCTACTCATGTAATTTTTACAAAACTACATTTTAATCTAATTTGAGTCGTAGAATGAAATGGGGGGGCAGATATGTCATTTCAGAATGTTTTAAAATTAAAAAAACAGAGTGATCCTAAATGAATTTTGGACTTTAATACATCCCCCCTCCCCGAAAAAAAAGGGTAAAGAATACATAAAAACTTAAGAATGACAGAAATAACAGTGATGCCAGATGCATAATACATAATAATACAACAAAACAAGGATGCCATTAAAACTGCACATAACATCGATTAAATGCTCAATTCTCAAAACAGAAAAAGTCCAATTTTGTGTCAAAATACTTATGTTAGAAAAATGCTGCATATAAATTTAATTATATATCCTAAGTTGCACTTTCGAGACATGAAAATTACAACTTAAATTTAATCAATCGGCCCAGTAGAATTGGAGATACATAACTGTCCCCCCTTTTTTAATGTAAGGTGTACCTATATAAATACCTCTTGATTTGATTATATGGTAATAATTCTTTAGTAATTATCATGTACTGTTTATTTATTTATTGTATTTGTATAGTGGCATTCCTGCATTAATATATAATTTATTAGGTCTGCCTAATTACACAGTTGGGAATCAAGCTCCAGCTGTTACTCCTTCTGTAACTAATGGGGAAAAGAAAATGGAACAGAAGCCTTCTCCTATATCATCTACTCCTACCACAAAAAAGGTAATTGCTTCAGTATGACACTTTAGATTATTTCCTCTGGCTAAGTTATATAAAAATTAATATTTTCTTTAGTGTTTTTGTTTCCTAAAATAAAAGTGTTCTGTTTGAAAACTTCAAAAATATCTGCAATGTATTGAAACATACTGGACAGCATTATCTACTTCAAAATAAATTTGGAGTACTTCAATATCTTTCTACCTTTCGTAGGTCCGGAAATTGGCCATTCATCAAAATCTTTGTTTCTTAGTTTAATAAGGGTTGATGATTTAACATATCCCTTATCCCTTAAACCCTTATCACATTACGATATTTGTTGCCGGAACAAAACGTTTGCAGCAACAGTTCTGAGAAACGGCCTTTGGCGAAATAGGGTTACCATCTTCACTTGGTAAACAGGCTGAAAGCCAAACAAGAATCAGTTATCGCTCAGATTGGCGAAAGTGACGTTTGCTTCTTCTGTGTTGTTTTGTATCGCTCAAACTCTTTTCATTTTAAACTTTATTGTTAGTAATGGAAGATAATAGAAAGGTGATTGCTATCAGGATAATCACTTTGATCTCTTTTTCTGGCACTTCAAATAACAGATAAACATGCTTCTGGTTATAGTAATCAATTACATCAGTAATAGCCAAATTCTGTATACACTAAAAATAGTTTAAAACGTGTGCTGGATAAGTCTATTTATCAGACATTATCTATGTGTATTTTCTGTTGTGTGCATTGCAATGAAAATTTGATGGCTCACTGGAAAATTTGTGACCTGGTGACCACCTTCTGACCTTGACTAACTTTATGGCTCATAATTACTGTTTTGTCCATTCAAACAAACAAACAAACAAAAAAGACCTTTTATGACAAAAGTCTATATGGCTGATATTTACATCCTCACAGCCAGCAGATACTATTCAGCAAAATGAAGATCAAATAAAGCATATGAGTACATGAGCAATCAAACATGTGCGAGTTGTTTACTGTCCCATAGAACATTCGGTAATATACTTAAAACACATTAATTATACCAACTCTAGAAATTAGGTGTGCACATCATGAGTTTGTTTTATGTGATTACGGCAAAGCCTTGAGGGATATCTGCCTAACAGGAGGGATCTCTTTGTAAAAGATTTTTTTAAACTGGCTCGTATACCAGTTACAAATGGGGAAAACCAATTTGTAGCCCATGTAGCCAGCCCGTTAGCGGCATTCTAACCTGAGACAGAACTACCAGTGTTCAACGACGCTTCGGCCACTAGTAGGCCCGTGCACTTAATTGGAAAGTACAATTCATTATGTAAACAGCTATGAAGGTGATAATCAGTTGTGCACTGTTTTAAGTAATCAAATGTTATAAATGCACAGTTACATTTCTTATTATTTATTAGTCATGTTTATATTACGTAGATCATACATATGATATAATTATGAATTAACCCAATAACAAAATGTGTACACTCTTTAGTACTCAAATACTCATCAATTATTTTTCAACTGATTATTACATACCCATAATAATTTTGCAAAGAACTGATGATATACTATAGTTGCTGCCAATTACATAATCATTATCATCTGAATTAAATCAACTTCAAATAAACTTCTTGGCAATGTTCATTTTTGTATTTATACATACATATACATACACATCTAATAAGTCATATATTTACATACAGATAGAGAGATGCGATGGTTTAGAAGTTGTTAATATATTTATTATAGTATTAATGTAATGAATAAGATTTATATTAATGAATATATATACAAATGTTTTTCATCATGCATAATAATAAATCCATAAATTTTCAATGTTTCAATATGTAGCATTTACAATAAAAGTATAGTTTCTTGTATTTATTATAATCCAAAAGTATTTCATTAATAACATGAAAGTAAGAGACAAATTAATGAGTATTCTCATTATTACATAAGCTATGCTTTCTTTTTTTATGCATCTTTATGCTGCTTAAAATGTGTCATGATTATGCAATTACAATTTAAAAGATAAGTATTAGGAGAAAAGCCACACATACCAAACGGATTTTAAAAAAATTTTCAACTTAAATTTAAGAAATAAAATTCTATTATATAAGTGATAATACATGATCAGCACGAAATACGAAAAAGTTGGCAAACTTTTGGCGATGAACAATTTGTAAACAAATAGTAACTGCAAGAACGTCATAAAATACTGTCAACTCTGAAATTTCCACGATTATATATTTAATGAATATATACACATTTAAAAAATGACTCAAGCAGTTGTATTACAACAAAACAGCAATAATTAAATCGGCCTCTATTTCCACCATCCATCACTTCACAGCGAGAGCCATCACCATATTGAAAGTTACCCGTGATCCTTCAGAAGCAGAACTTTCGTCTTATCAGGTTCGATGTTCCGTCTTACTTTCTTCGGGAACATGCAAGGACCTGACTCGGAACAGAGAGCTTATTAAAGCTATGTTCAATAACTGTGGGAAGTAGACAGGATACACAAGAAGGGTATACAAAACCCTTTATTTTTCTCTATTTACAATAATTTCCGTACTTTGGAATACACAGACCCACTACTCGTGGTCTAAACGTAAAAATATAAAAATAAAACTAAACTAACTTTGAAATAATAAACGTGGAAGATTGGCCTTATATTAACAGGAAGCCGTATGTAGTACAGAAAACTGTGAACACTACAATACGTTTAAAATTATCGAGAGGATTAAACCTCTGGCCTGGAAGGCAACCAGCAACTGAGTAAAACTTCTAAGGTAAGCGGCCTGCTTCGACTAACTGCTTCCTCCCTTTCGCTTGGCAAAAAGCCACAACTTAAGTACTTGCCGTTCGCCAGACAAATTTTGCATAAATACATTAACGCTTATAATTCTGGCCGGAAGTAGAAAATAAGAAGTGATAGTAAAGATTTAAAATAAAATAAACGTTAGTAAAACTTAAGATCCTTACAGTCTGATTGGTTGAACGTTCGAGGAACACGTCTCCAGCCGGAACATTTTCGAACAAATTTTAAAATGTTGCTTGTAGCCGGGACAGGTTCCTCCTAGCTAGAAGAAACATTTCTCGGAAGCCTGCCGCTTAAAGCCGTACTACTAGAATCTCGTTTTTCGGAATTGTTCCAGGTAAGCGCGCGTCCATAGAAGTGATAGGTCCCTAAGTAACATAAAATTTTGTGAGCCAGGTACTTTTTTATCTTGTGAAGTAAACAGTAGTGTAGAAGATATAAAATCAAATTAAGAATTCTTTCTTTTTTTACGCAGCAGACAGAATCTAAATTGAAGAACTATGGCTGTTGGTCCAGTCTTGGCCAAGCAGCATCCAGTAGTCCAAGCACTAGTAACACTGCAGCTTCTTTTAAGAACAGTGCAATGGATAGTTTTCAACAGTTCAAGAAACAAGCTAAAGAGAAATTGGACAAAGTATGCTATATAGTATATATCTATTCCTTTATATATATTACAAAGTATGTCAGTGTATATGCAATTTTTTAAAAGTATTTAGTAATGACCAGATCATTATTACAGGTTTTTGTACTGTCATTGTATACAATCAAAAATTTGAATCAGAATTCTCTTTAACCCTCCGTTACAGTTAGCTTTTCCTACTAATATGAAATCTGTGGTACAGCATTTTTTTAAAGGGGATTTACCATATAAATCGTTCACAGAATTATTTCTTAAAATATTCATTTCTGTCTTAAAAAATTTAAATCAGATTCAAGCGCTTTCAAACTGTTGAGTGGGTCTGTTGCTATTCATATTCAGAGCATTCTGAAGAAACCGTTATGAGAAGCTTTAACACATTTTTTTAAAATTTAATAGTAATCTTACAGACTTTAAGATAAAAGTCTCAAAGAAAAAATTCTTTCATGATGTCCTTTCCAAGTTAAAAAATTAATACAATTTGTCAATAAATATTGTATTCATATTTCTAATTTATCATTATTTTGTTTATGTAAATAATAATATTCATTCTTTTAATTTAAAATCTGATGTAGTTTCATAGTCATTGTTGTTTTGTGACCATTAGTATTTGAAATTACATAACTGGCACTGCGTCTTTGTGTAAAATATGTAATCAATTTTAAAATATATTTTCCTCTACAGCAAAGGCAGCTGTATGAACAGCAAGAATTAAGAAGGCATCAAAAAGAGCAGGCAGAAAAAGAACGGCTGCGATTGGAAAGAGAGAGATTGAGGTTATTTAAGTTCATTTTGTCTGCTTCTCAGTGAAAAAAATATAACAGTTTTTTTGCTCGTGTCTGAATAATGTTAATTTCTAATTGCCATCTTGAATCAAAAAATAGTTTTTGTTGTTGTTACTACTGCTACTGTTTTATTAATTAAACATTTCCATGTCATCCTTAGATTTGATCTGTAACAGAGTAAATATTGTAGATAACGGTAAAATAAATATGTTGTAATTTAAACAAGATTCCCATTATAATGCCATGTGAATACCTCTCTGAGGTAACTGCTTGATTAGTCTCAGTCAACAAGATGACAGAGATTTTTTTATTTGGGACAAATCAAGCAACCACGTAATTAGGATAGTTAACTGACTAGAGATATATTTCATTCTCAGTTATAATATTTTTGAAAAATAATCACTGTATTAACATTGATAGGTAGCAAACTAATGCTTTTAAAAATTACAGTTAACTATTTTTTTAACCTTAATTTTCATGGAAGTTTTTTTCCCATTGCATCATGAAGGCAATTCACATATTTGAAATTTAAAGTGACTTTTGCAGAGATTTAAAATAGTTATGCTATTGAAATAGGGCTCAATAGGTTTTTCACTTCCCCCCTGAAGAAGTCTTTCTTAATTTATACATATATATAATATATTTCCTGAAGAGGTCTTTCATAATTTATATAAACACACATACTAAGATGTAGAAACGCAGGAAATACTGATGCCAAAACACACAGATGACATATTGAAGAGGAAGAATTCTGATTGTGTAGAATGTTAAATCCTTAATGATTAGGAAACTTGCCAGTCAAGGCGGATTAAATCCCATTTTTTATTTAAATTGACATTTCTGGCCGCAATTCACTTGGCACTCTAATCATGCCTATTTACGAGAACATTTACATTTTTGATACTGTTGGGATAGGAAGAGGGCGCAGTGAAATTGCATCCAAGTAGCACACAAAGTCAAGCAAAAGTGCATATTTATGCATTATGGAAGATTGCCAAGAGGAAGGTTTTGGTTTAGGTCAGAAAAGTTTCTTTTCTTAAAAGTTTGAGTTCAATTTCTGAATAAGCTATGTCAACAGCTTTACACAAGTTCTGGGGCATAGATTAATCTAGAAATGGCCCAGCCAAGAAATTAATGGCCAGGAATTAGTTACTACTTTGAGAATATAGACAGTAAATACCCAAATTAAAAATGAGGAATTAAGAGGCTATTAATAAATTAAACATATTTTTCATCTTACATATATAGATATAGATAGCACTCAGTTGGTTTCACTTTTTTCCCAGGGGTGTGTGTGTGTGTGTATGTATATATATATATATATGTATGTGTGTATGGTAAAAAATACATAAATTAAGGCAATAGCCCCTTAATTCTGCCTCTCTATTCTAAAAATAATAATTTTCTGCACTGCGTCATTTTTAAATCAATCCATATAAAATAAGAATAAATTTAAATATACTGACTAGACTATATTACAGTATGGTTTGGCATCTTTTAGGAAAATGTAACTTGATTCGATAGAGGTAAGATCTTTCTGCCTAGCCACCCTGGTGTGAACATCATTCCACTCAGGAAAAATCAGTCCATATCATGTGACTTGTATAATGCTGAAATTTGGAACTTGTTTCAAAACTTTCTCTTAATAGGCCACCATATTGAATAACTGCATACTTTTGTTTTTAGCTTTCTTGCTGTTAAGGTGCTGGCATGCTGCTTTTCGTCCTGTAGGTAATAGGTATAAAAAATGTTAATGTTCTTCAATAGGAAGTACACAACAAGAGTGCCAGTGTAATTATGGTCGCAAATGTAGGTTGAAATCAAGGTTTAATTTAAATTTAAATATTATAATTTTCCTTGGCTGCCAAGTTTGCTTTTTAATATTGGATCAACATTCTATGCCACTAACACTGTTAAGTTTGCTTTGCTTTATTACATGTATGTATTTCAGAGCTTTTTTTATGTTCTTGTAGACAACATTTCGCGTGAAATGTATACAGGGTTGCTGCTATGCTACCTGGAAAACTGGAAAAAGTCAGGGAATTTGGAAATTCACCAAAAAATTCAGAGAATTAAAGCGTTTTAGTCAAAATCTGGAAAAGTCAGGGAATTTCATACAACGAACCCGCCAAAAAAGCCAAGTTTTGTGCCGACGTCGGAAGAGATCACTTTTTTGGCGAATTGGTGTATCACGTGAGTGTCATTCGGGCAGCTGCATAGAGCCAATTTTTCCAGCTCCAAGTTGATTGTCTAAAAAGGCAAAGCAAGTTTCTTTTCAACTTTTGGTTTCCAGTACCTGAATCGCATGTGCAGTTGCATGAACTAAAGAAAGTACTGTCTCGTATAAAACAAAATGGATTTAATCCTAGTATAACGGTACCAATGAAGGTTAAAATAAAAAATATGTATTGTAAAGAAAGGAAACCTCTCTGCACAGACGTGGCCGTTCATAGATCTGTGCAGCCAAAAATCTCCACTAAAAAAAAACCGGTGTCGAAGTTCGAAGGTCACGTTATAAGAGTTCATAAAAAGAATATCCTTTAAAATTCTTTAAACTCTAAAGGAAAAGAAAATATTTTTTGGCGCAAGTAAATTACTTCATGGATTAGTTATTTTGAAGGGGGGGAAACTACGAAAATCCGTTAAATTATTGCGAACGGATTTTCGTAGTTTTCTTTTTTGTCAAAGAACCAGAGTAGTAGCTAGCGTTTTCAGTGCTAGATAGGGTAGCTAGGGTTTTACTGCCTCGTATCCCTTAGCTAAATATTTAGTTTCTAGATTTTCAACTCTATTAGACAATAACATTTACACCATAAAAAATTCAATGAGTTTTAAAAAAAGGTAAAACATTTCTCTAGTAATTTCTAATGGTTTTCTTTTGATGTAAAATCATTATTTCACCATGTTCCAGTAGAGGGTGTATTAAGATGCTAGAAACCACACTTCGCGAATTTCATTTTCTTGCATCGAAATTGAAGATGCTCATTCTCTCACTCAAACTCTGTTTGAAAACACACTTTTGTTTTCAAAATAAATATTACAAGCAATGAGGGATAGCCATGGGAACCCCAATCCTCCTGTCTGATATCTACAGCATTATTATAATAAATTGTTTTTGAAACTCAGAGTCGAGTAAGGTTTCAGCGCCCAGGAACACTGAAGATTTCGCACCCCCCTACTCTTGCCAAGGATGGAAAACATTTAATTCTAAATGTCGTAATCAGTTTGGCGCCCCTCAGATTCGCCCGGGACATTTGCCCCTCTCTAAGCTACCCCTGCAAAGAAGTTTCTCTTAACACGTGTTCCTCAATTTCCTGTACACATCGCGGAGAGGGAAAATTCTGGCCGCGGTTCCGTCGCCAAATCCCTTGCAAATTTTCCTTCGCTTTCTAGCCGCGTAATAGCATTTACGTGTATGGAACCTTTTCTTTCCATGTATGGTTAGAGCGGGATTTGGCGACATGAGGACAGTAAACGGTCATTTTGGTGGTGACAATTTTTCAAAATTGCGAAGTTTATCGTCTGTTGTAAAGGATTTTCTTTTTTTTTTTTTTTAATAATACCTGTCTTTGCAGTAAATAAAAAAATAGTAATTAGTCATCTAGGCTACCATGTAATAAACTATATCGCTAAAATATCAGTTGATTATTCTAATTCAATTTTAAGTAATTATTTTATTTTATGTATTATATCATTTAATGTTGCTTCTAAATTTATTTATCATTAGTAAATAATATTTCCAAATTTCAGGAAATTTCTGGCATAATCCTGAAATTAATTTAGCAGTATGATGACACACGAAATTTAATGCACATATTTTTCCTATGTATGCTGCGAAATAAATATAAAATACCTCAATTTATAAAAAAATAATAAATAGATTTCTTTCGTTTAGCTGCAGAATGTCTGCAAAAAAAGCTTATTTTATTCCAGATTGGGCAGATTCTAATCTCAATCTTCAGTGGAGAAAACAACTCCTATTCTAATATATTTGTGTTTTCAAGTGTTAAGGTACCTTTAAGAACATACCTCACACAAATTAAATTTACTAAAATCTAACCTAACTTTAGCATTGCGTTGTGATTATAAGAAACAGATAGCATGTGAACTGGTGATGATCAGGTAATAATTAAATAAAACGTACATTGTTATCCATGTATATATCTTAAATTTTATTAAGTTTCTTAAGTGGAAAAGTAAACAAAGTTATCAACAAAGGTACCAAGAATAATTAAGAATAAATGTCCTCTGGGATTTATTGAATAATTAAGTGTATTTGCTACGCAGTACAAGTATACCATAATTAATTACCTCTTAGCCAGCCAACGTACATTACGTGGATAGACTGGAATTTTCTCAAAACATAACTTGAAAACCTGGAAAAGTCAGAGAATTTCATTCTCCTGTTTGAGTGGCAACCCTGTGTATAGAACACATAGTTTGTATTTTATTCAAGTGCCCACCATAGACCTTACCCCCATGGTATCTTTATTTTTTTATTTTTTTTTTTTTTTGTGCACGTCTTCTGGTTTCTGTGTCGTTGCAACTTGCATGAGCCATAGCATTGAGATTGTTAAATTTATTATTTTGTAGACTGCAGTATTCTTCTCTCAGTATTAGTATTCTGTATTCTGCGTAATCCTTTCTTTATCTGCATTTATATGTTTTTTTCACTTTGTTCTTTAAAACTGTGAACACCAACAGTAAGTTTTTTGAGCCCAATGTTTTGCTTCATTATCAGCAGACTTCCTTCTATGATATATGTTTTTCTATCCATACAATAGCATTAAGTTTACTTTTCAGCTCTTAGTAATGTGATTCATCGCATCAAAAATCATAATTTTTTTTTAACTTGCTTTTAACAGTGCAAAGAAGAACATTTCTATGAGAATTTGTGTTCATATGGTAATTTGCACTTGTATGATTTATGCACATGGATTGTTAAACATGCTATCATCTAATCCTGCATCCTTTTTTAGAGGTGTATACGA